AGCACAGAAGTAGATATTTGGGTATTTTTGAGAATTTTAAGAGCTGTCGATTTGTCAGCAATAGATTAGAGAATCAAATACCGTTGTAAAGGGACTGACCCCAGAGAAACTTGCTAAAATAGATTAGCTCCTGTAAGGATAATACCAATTTGATTAATGATGTACATTCATCCCAAAACTGCCTGAGAGGAGGAAGTGACAGCACTTCCTGGTTCAACAAAATGTATTTGGAAAAATGAGCAAAACCATAGTATAGAGAGATTTATTAGATAAAAACATATGTTTAAGAATATGGCTCAATAAAAGCAAATATGCAAACATATTTGTAAATAGATTAGAATAGTTTTAGTGCATACATTACAGACGAGGTTGATGAAGAATCAGAATGACACAGCAGTAGTCATCAAAATAGTATGGAAGGAATGGTTAAAATGTGGTTTGTTGTGTGTTGTATTCTTTCTGTATTAACTCTTCACAGATATCGAGCCAGAACTAGGATGATGGAATCTCCCCAGTCCTGTCACCCGAGAAGGGTTATTGAAAGATTGTGACCTAAATTGTTAAATATAGACTAAAGGCAGATGTGAATTTGATTGACCCGGAATTGAACTCTGTCTCTTTCCCAAGCAAAAAGACCTGGTCTCCCCTTGTTCCTTGGTAGTCCAAAAGTGCAGAAATATGAGTTAATGATAGTTAATCTGGGGGGATTCTGCTAATCCTTTCGTTGTTTGAAGAAGGAGCTGGACCTTGAAAAGCCTCCTGTCTTATCTCAAGGAAGTAATATTTCTATAGAATTAGGGAGGGGTAGTGCATGAATGATTTCTGTTTAGGTCTGGCAGACGGAGGAAAGGCCGGACCCTGGACCGGAAGTTGCCTGATACTACACGCCCCCTTCTTCCTGGACATCTGCTCTTTTTATGCTTAGGCTGGAGGCTTGGAGTCAGTCAGAGCAGGGATAGAGACAGAGAACATGGCAGAGCGCCTGCATGTTCTCTGCACATTTTCAGACCTGGAGGGAAAGTTTTTAGGATGGCTCAGCATAGGGTTAGTTTTAGAGAATTAATGGCTCCAAGGGTTTTGTATCGATATTTAATTGTAAAGAGAATTAAATGTTCTATTTTTAACTCTTGCATTCTTGGCCTTATTTCTGTATCAAATTCTGAACACGTCAGTCAAATCTTTTTTGACGACAATAGTCCGAGCGTAGATAGTCCGAGGCGGTCCCGCAGGTCTCTCCCATAGACCAGTCTCTCCAGAGGATACGATGTAAGCTAGCTCTGTTCAGGGCTTGGTTTCTTCTTTGATCATGTTGTGGCTTTAGTTCCTCTTCTCTTCCTCACTGTTGTGTGGTTTGGGCTGTTTTGCTGTGTCTGCAGCATGGATGTATTATATTAACTGGATAGGGTATTACTAGCTTGTAGCTGAATAACTCACGTGCTCAGGGGATTCTCGCGGTACTGCAGACTGAACCAGACTGAACCAGACTAAATTCACGTGGGCTACCCAGAAATTTTCCCCATAGAACTCAATGCATATTAAAACAGCTCAACCTCAGCTGACAGAGAACCTGACAGAGAACCTGACAGAGAACCTTCAGCTTTAATAAAGATCGGATTTTGTGGGGATTTTAGTGTCCCTTGTCGTCCTGAACTTTTTTTCTTCTTAAATCCTTCGGTTTTGTTTAAATCCACACTTTAGTGCCACAAACTCTGCTCCTCTGGCTCTGGCTCTAACTCCCGCTCTGATGAACTGCTCTGATTGGTCAGAGCGGCCGAGCCCCTCTGTGCACGTGCGTGAGACCCGGTGTGAGACCCACACACGCGTGTTTGACGCAATGCATTATGGGAGATCATCCACTGCACAGAACCAAGAGGACCAGACGATGCCCAAATACAGGAGAGTTTCCCATAGATCTTTGAGAGTTTCCCATAGATCTTTGAGAGTTTCCCATAGATCTTTGAGAGTTTCCCAGAGATCTTTGAGAGTTTCCCATAGATCTTTGAGAGTTTCCCATAGACCTTTGAGAGTTTCCCATAGATCTTTGAGAGTTTCCCATAGATCTTTGAGAGTTTCCCATAGATCTTTGAGAGTTTCCTATAGATCTTTGAGAGTTTCCCATATATCTTTGAGAGTTTCCCATAGATCTTTGAGAGTTTCAGGCAACTTCCACAATCTTTCAGCCCCCATGCTGTCACAAAGCGCCACTGAGCACAACCTTTCATTTGAATAGGGCGCCATCTTGGATCGCCAGGGCTTGGTCTGCAGTTACAGCCAGAGGAGTTATAGCCACTTATGCTAACATGCTACTGTGTTTAGCAGCGCTGTAGAGGCTAGAGGACGCAGCCTCGTTCTGTGATTGGAGGAGAGCGGGCGTCACGCTAAGTCTCTACTCAGCACTTTTTACTGAGTTCATACACAGCTGAATCAATGAGCTCAAGTTTTATATTAAACTACGGATTATGAAACAACTTGTGCGTAGTAATAAGCATTTTTATGAACTCATAAAAAAAAAAAAAAAAAAAAAATCGGGTATAGCATTTGTAAACTACAGACTATGTGAGTTTGTAGCTTTCAAAGATTTAAAGTGCAATGAAAATGAATTCATTATACTGTAGTGCTTTCATTTTTGTCGTTCTCATCTCAACGTGATGAAGTTTGGTTTATTTAAAGTAATGTGCCGATAGGTCGTAAACAGCAGCAGTCAGAGATTTCAACACAACTATTCCCACATGTCTCGTTGTTATCGCCTCGTGCCTGAGCGTCCGTCATGTCTCAGACTGTCCTTCAAAGCCTCGTCGCACGGCTTCAGTCTCCCCCGGATCCTTTCTTCCGACAGCTTGTTGAGTAACAGAACAGGGTGTGTTCACAGTAAAGCGGTAATTATAGTATCTGGACTTTAAAAGGTTATAACTCAAAAACTAAATGTACTGTCATAGATTCAGTGACAGAGAAAATAAAAGGTCAGAGACAAGTATTAACTGAAAAATGTGTAACAGACAAGATGGTTTCTGTCCATTTTTTAATCTATTTTAGCTGGAGAAAAAAATGGTCTGGTTTCACATTTAGTTTATTATGAAAGAAATTCTTTTGTTTCTACTGTTTAAAAAATCTGAATAAAATGTGGATCTGAAAATATGTAACAAACTTCAGCTCATTCAAAGGATCAGCTCCGTTAAACAAATACACAATTACTATAGAAATCTTGACTAATTTAATAAAACAGTCTCTTTTAGTTTCTTCTAATGGACACAGGAGGGATTTGACTCAAACTCGGCCTAGTTCTCTACAGTTTCTGACTCTACAGATGTGGGATTGGACCTCAAAACTTAACAGAAACAGCAATGGTGGGAAGCGTCATACGTTTTTAGATTTTCTTACATTCTTTCACAAACCATCTCGCTATAGATAAACATAGACATGGGGAAAATTGTCGTTTTAAGATATAAACGTTCTAGTGAGGAGCAGGTGAATCTGGGAATCAAAAATTATGTTCAAAAAAAATTTACCTATATTTTTACCTGCACTCTCTGTTCCACTGTTTTTAACTTGCAAGTAAGTCTAATTTATTTCTATATATATATTTTTTTAAAAGTATTATTTTATTTATCATTAAAGTCAACATAGGACAACACAAGCTTGAAACTGAAGCGATGCAAAAAGAGTTTATAGTTGTTGCTAATAAACTGTTTTCCAGTTAAACCAACACAATTAAAGGCATGTTTTAGCACAATTCTGATAGATTTTCAGTTTATTCTCAGATTAATTTCCCCTCATGATAATCTTAATCTAAACATACCATTAGTTTTCCAAATTGTCTCTTCTATTTTTAATTTTCACCACAAAAGGTTCTATCCCAGGATGCAAAAAAATAAAAAAATCTGTCACAAACTCTCCCTCAAATAACGCTTTTCTTACAACACATCAGCCCAAGCACCTCCATCTCTGTCTGGATCAGGTGTCACCGGGACCTGGCCCACACTGTCTGAGCCCGAGGGGGCAGGGGGCGGGGGGCGGGAGGGCAGGAAGGAGCTGGGTGCTTATGTCATTACGGACGGGGTAATTGCGCTGGGTTACCATTGAGGCCCTTAAGAGGTGTCAGGGTTGATTTGGGAGCGGACCCGGAGTCTGGCTCATGTGTGTTCTCACCTAAAGCTGACACGGCAAACCCATGTTCCCCGCTACACTGCCCCCCGGGGGGAGCCATTAGCAATGCAGACATGGTAATAGTGTCATTTGAGCCAATCAGGTGTCAAATAAGAGAAGGCGGCTTACAGCGCTCGCCACCCATAGGCCAAACGCAGCTCTGACTGCAATAAGACGCTTCTATATGGACTTTTAGAGCAGGGCAGATACATGTTAAAGGTGCAGTAAGCAATTTAGTTTGGCATTTTCTGTTCAGCCATTTTAGGTTTTAGAAAATCCGATAGGGGAAACCGGAGCACCGGGAGGAAACCTATACACAGATACAGGGAGAACATGCAAACTCCATTCAGAAAGGCCCCGTCCCGACCGGTATTCAAACCCAGGATCTTCTTGCAGAGAAGCGAAAGTGCTAACCATCAAGAGGGTTATAGAAGTAGTAAGTAAGTAAGTAATCTTTATTTATATACCGCCTTTTCACTGCACATCGGAGTCTCAAAGCGGTTTACAATTATTATTTTTGGGAGTGGGGGGATGCCAGATCTATTGTACATATTTTTAGTGGTAGGGGAAACCGGAGCACCCGGAGGAAACCTACGCAGACACAGGAAGAACATGCAAACTCCACTCAGAAAGGCCCTGGTCCAACCGGGATTCAAACCCAGGACCTTCTTGCTGAGAGGCGAGAGTGCTAACCACTCAGCAACTGTGCCGCCCGCACGGGTAGAATGAGAGGAAATCCTGTAAATTGCTTTGAAAAGTACCATTTTATAATATACAGTATAATATCATAATGTACCATACACCCACCCATACCCCCACCTGTACACCCGGTCATACACCCGCACATACCCCCACCTTTACACCCGGTGATACACCCGCACATACACCCACCCATACCCCCACCTGTACACCCGGTCATACACCCACCCATACCCCCACCTGTACACCCGGTCATACACCCGCACTTTCCCCCCACCTTTACATCCGGTGATACACCCGCACATACACCCACCCATACACCCACCCATACCCCCACCTGTACACCCGGTCATACACCCACCCATACCCCCACCTGTACACCCGGTCATACACCCACCCATACCCCCACCTGTACACCCGGTCATACACCCGCACATACCCCCACCTGTACACCCGGTGATACACCCGCACATACACCCACCCATACACCCACCCATACCCCCACCTGTACACCCGGTGATACACCCGCACATACACCCACCCATACACCCGCTCATACACCCGCTCATACACCCGCCCATACACCCGCTCATACACCAGTCTATACACCCGCACATACACCCACTCATACACCCGCTCATACACCCGCTCATACACCCGCTCATACACCCGCTCATACACCCGCTCATACACCCGGTTATACACCCACCCATACACCCGCTCATACACCCGCTCATACACCAGTCTATACACCCGCACATACACCCACCCATACACCCGCTCATACACCCGGTTATACACCCACCCATACACCCGCTCATACACCCGGTTATACACCCACCCATACACCCGCTCATACACCCGCCCATACACCCGCACATACACCCGCTCATACACCAGTCTTATACCCGCACATACACCCGCACATACACCCGCACATACACCCGCACATACACCCGCACATACACCCGCACATACACCCGCACATACACCCGCACATACACCCGCTCATACACCCGCACATACACCCGCTCATACACCCGCTCATACACCAGTCTATATACCCGCACATACACCCGCTCATACACCCGCACATACACCCGCACATACACCCGCACATACACCCGCTCATACACCCGCTCATACACCCGCTCATACACCCGCTCATACACCCGCACATACACCCGCTCATACACCCGCTCATACACCCGCTCATCCACCCGCTCATACACCCGCTCATACACCCGCTCATACACCCGCACATACACCCGCACATACACCCGCACATACACCCGCACATACACCCGCACATACACCCGCACATACACCCGACTTCAAATCAAGCCGAGTCCTCAGTGAAGAGCCGACCCAACGTCAGACTTCAGGTTTAGAGCAGTAAAAATACCAATATTTAACAAAAAAATGACTTATGACAACAGTGAGTTTCCCTATGCACGCAAATAAATAAAAGTTATATTTCCACGCTTTTTAAAGTTGGTTTTAATAACACATATAACAGATGATTTAACCATATTTTAACTGTTAAATGACCAGGAATTAACCATATCTGTTAAAAATACACTATAACACTATTACATTTATACATTTATACATCACACATTGTTCTCCACACCGTCCACTCCTGCGCTAAAGCTAATTCCAAACTCACGGCTCCACCTCAAAAGTCGATTATTGCACCGAGTAAATCAGGTCCGGGACGATGACAGAAGAGACAGCAAACGTTGTAAAGCAATTACGGTTGAAATGGATACGGCCAAGAGTCATAAAATATTATCACGTAGCATGCCACCGCTGTGAAAGACATCAGCCCTGTGAGAGCCCATTTATGTCAAAGTCCTAAAGCGGCTTTGGTGCGAAGGACCAGGAGCGGCCTGCATGGTTCTTATACATCAGTGTGTATTTAATCTTATATGGGTCAAATGCCTTTAGTGCGAAGGACCAGGAGCGGACACTGAGCCGAGAGTCGCAGCAACGGCCTTTACATGAAGAATGAAGGAGAATGTGTTTAAACAGAATACTATGGAAGCGGGTAATGGCGACCTGCATGGTTATTTTAAATATATCAGTGTACTTAATGTAATATGGGTCAAATGCACAGATGTTGTATGGGTAAAATGCACAGATGGTATATGGGTCAAATGCACAGATGGTATATGGGTCAAATGCACTGATGTCATATGGGTAAAATGCACAGATGGTATATGGGTCAAATGCACTGATGTCATATGGGTAAAATGCACAGATGGTATATGGGTCAAATGCACAGATGGTATATGGGTCAAATGCACTGATGTCATATGGGTAAAATGCACAGATGTTAGCATAGATGTCATATGGGTCAAATACACCGCATTCATATGGGTCAAATGCACTGATGTCATATGGGTAAAATGCACAGATGGTATATATGGTATAAGGGCGGCACGGTGGCTGAGTGGATAGCACTCTCGCCTCTCAGCAAGAAGGTCCTGGGTTCGAATCCCGGTCGGACCAGGGCCTTTCTGAGTGGAGTTTGCATGTTCTCCCCGTGTCTGCGTAGGTTTCCTCCGGGTACTCCGGTTTCCCCTACCACTAAAAACATGTCCAATAGTTCTAGCATGCGCCTCCTGTACTGGAGACCCTGCTCCCATCTCTGTGTGGAGTGAGAGACAAATGCCCATAATTAACAATTGTAAACCGCTTTGAGACTCAGATCTGCAGTGAAAAGGCGGTATATAAATAAATACTTACTTACTTACTTACTATATGGGTCAAATGCACAGATGGTATATGGGTCAAATGCACAGATGGTATATGGGTCAAATGCACAGATGTTATATGGGTCAAATGCACAGATGCTATATGGGTCAAATGCACAGATGTTATACGAGTCAAATGCACAGATGTTATACGAGTCAAATGCACATAAATGCCTTCATATTGAAACTGTTTTAGTCCATTTCACAGAGTCATTTGTTTTATTATTGTACTTTTAACATTGTTTTAACACACACTCAATCATTCACCTTGATCTATTGTACATGTTTTTAGTGGTAGGGGAAACCGGAGCACCCGGAGGAAACCTACGCAGACACGAGAGAACACACAAACTCCACTCAGAGAGGTCCTGTTCCGACCGGGATATGGGCAGAAATCGTCTCATACCTATACTAATCTGGGTTCTTCTATACCACACAATATACGGTTTTGAGATGTTATTACCTTTATGTCTGGTATAGAACAACTCAATACTTTTGAGTCTACAAATAAATTTAAATGAATCTATTTATTGGTGTCGAGAGCTTAATGCTGTGTGTTGTGCCGCATGTGCTGAATAGACGACGTGTGCGACAGTTTTACCCACACTTACACAGCCCATGTTTTTACACTTGCTGTAGTTTTCCGGGAATTCATTTGTATTTGTGTGTGTGTGTCTGTCTTTGTGTGTGTGCATGTGTGTGTGCATGTGTGTGTGTGTGTGTGTGTGTGTCTGTGTGTGGTAGAGTCCTCTGGGGCTGGGGTCATGTGTTCGCTCATGTCGCAGTCTGAGCCTAGATCAACAAGCAGAGTGTAAGCCGGTGTGAATGTGACAGCTCGATGCAGCGCCAGTACAATCCATCATCAGAACCAGAGACACATTATTAATCACAAATCAATACCCCGCCAAACGGTCTCCTCTGCTCTCCCACATTTACTTTGGACAAAATCTGCTCTGTTTCAGGAGAGTTAAAGGTTTGAAATTCACCAACACTCAATCGCAAAAGGATAAAAGGAAGAGACTTTGCTTTCTGTCAAAATGTTAGTCCTTTATAGAATAGAATAGATATTTATTGTCTGTTCAAATTGAGACGAGATTTGTCTTTCAACTCGGCACAATTAAATAATCATTCATAAAACACGGTTGAAATACATTTAGCAAAGACACACAGTTCATAATTCATGCATTGCTACAGGTGTTTTTTTATAACAGGGACTGCAGACAGGACAAATAATCTCTTGTAGATGTTTTTTCGGCGGGGAAAATAAAAACAAAATACCTAAAAAATAGGCAACAACCAAAAACGATCTAAGATAATTATTGTTTGGATCGATGGATACAAAGGTACTTCTCAAATCCTCATGAATCCTCTTCAGCTTTGACAGTCTAGAGAAGGCCCCATTAAAAAGTACCATTTAAAAATACAGCCAATCAGGTCAGAGCAAAAGAAATGCAGAGATAAAAAACACATCTGTATTGTCCATAAATGTTAATTAATGTAAAATTATTCAATGTATTAATTGAACAGTTAACATTGTGGAAAAAATCAGTAGAGACCATTTTTTTCAAGATCTTCACAAAAAATCTGTAAAAATGCATTAATAAACCATGCTCTTTTCCAATACTTCTAGCTCAGAAATATTTGAAATTCTAAATTAGTTTTACAGTATGTTTAAAACCGTTCAATATTTTGGGGACTATAAATCTTCTGAGCTGTATTAAGAGTATTTTCTGCGTGAGTTTTGCCAAAATAACTTCACGTTCAGGGGTGATGAATCATGGAAATGCTACAGAACAGTGTGTCCTGAGCTGCAGCCTTGGCTCATACATCAAACCGGCTGAATCTGAGTCGAGAACCTCTGACATGCGCCTCGCTGTGGGGCTGAAGAGCACACGTCTCCATCAGTACCCTTCGCCACGGCCAGTTTCAACACATTTCAAAGTCACCCCTGGAGCTGCGCCACACGACCTGCTGTGAGCCACCATCACCTCTTTGTGGACCGGAGCAGGCTTTTGGAGAATGGAGGATTTTTTCTGCGTCTGTGTCGGGATCAGGACACAGGGCTCAGTGTTGCTCCGGCCCACAGACCCTCCGGACCCCATTAACACCAGTATCACGCCCACCCCCCACTGCCCCGTGCTTTCTTCTGCCCTGCCCTCCTCTCCCTCAGAGACCTGTTAACGTGAGCGACCAGAGGAGAAGAGAACCTGGCGCCCCGACTTCTACACACACAAACAAAACTGTAGACAGTAAGTAAGTACTAACAATATGGGAATACACTGCAGCAAGAACCAAAGACACTGAAGAAACCTCCTTTTGTCCATAATCCTGCACAGACTGTATATTGTTTGCCTCTGACATGTTTTCACACTTCTGTCTTTAGCACAAATCTGATTCTATCTGTGCCAAAGTTACATGTATATTTGCCCAGTGCAAGAGAACGGTCACATAGGTTTTTACAAACGAACTAGGCCAAGTGGCCCGGACCGTTGCCACAGGGGTGTGAAAACAGCCCACGGTCACAAGAGCTTGTTATCGCAAACGTACCAGAGTAACTGTGCTGTAGTACAACGCTTGGCCCAGCTGGTGGCGCTAATACTAACTCCAGCGACTACCTTGTTGTCCTAGTTAAGTTTCCATTTCTCTTCCTGTTTACATTCTGCTACTGTAGCCAACAGCTCGAGCACAGATTGTGTTGTTTGCATCAGAGCAATGTGAACAAGTGTGAGACGTGTCTTTCCCAAAGTGCAGCAGCTCAGTGGGACACGTGTGTGTGTGTGCGTGCGCCGCGGACACGGGAGCGCGCTTTGGATTAAAGAGCTTGAACGCTGAGAAATGAATGAATGAGAATGAAAGAATGAAAAGTGGCGTACGAGCAGAGCGACCGGAGACAGGCAGGATACCTGTGTGTGTGTGTGTGTGTTCTGGAGATTAAATAAAGACTGATTCTTGAATGTCTGAAGTGTTATTGCAACAGCACCACACTGAGAGCGAGGGTCAGGACAGAAGGGGTTATTCCCGTAGGAAACGCTTCCCTTTGGCTTTGGAGTGACACACCCCCCTGTGCCCCTCGACCACAGTCCCCTGCGCCCCTTGACCCCCTGCACCCCTCCACCACGGTCCCCTGTGCCCCTCGACCACAGTCCGGGGGCTTATATGAAAGGTTTAACACAAGCGGAGAATACGAAAGTATGCGACTGCTGTAGAGACGGGTGTGAAAGTGGGCATCACAACGGGCGCAGCAGGAAGACGTCATGTGGTCGAACGTGACGCACAATGTCACGTCCACACCACAGCTCATCCCCCACTCCCCACCACCCGCCACACTGACCCCCCCTCATCTGCTCAGACCCACCTGCAACAACCGTGCCCAAGTCCAGTTGCAGCGGTCACATAGAACCTAAAGCCCGGGTCTAATCGCGAAGTGGGCCCAGGCACACTTTAACCGGGCTTTAGGCTGTGCATGTGACCGCAGCCTAAGATCAATGAAGTCTATCTTCTTTATCTAATCTTATCTATCTAAACTTATCTTACACAATATGGTGGATAGACAGCTATGGCCTCCATTGTGTATCCATGTTATGACTCCAATATGTTCTGATTGTCTCTTGATGCAACACATATTCCTTTCTATGTATGACGTAACAAATATCTATAAAAACCATGTCCTGACTTTGTTCTGTCTGAAAAAACTGAAAAAAACCTGAAACCTGAAGGAAAGCTCTGGTTCACAACGATCCCGTCTCTGTGGGGTTCATTTTCCACAACAAAAACATGAAACAAAGTCAAAAGCACAAAAATTCAGGTTGAAGAGAAGGTCAAACCAGAGTGAAAGTGAGTAAAGGCTGGAGCAGTTTCCTCTTCCTCCACGAGCACGAGCAAGGGCAGCGAAGGGAGAGGCCCGGGAGGAGAGTTTGATTAAATCTGTGGTTGACGTGTGCGACAGGTGAGATTGATGAGGTTCCTCTGAGTTTCACACTGAGAGAAGAGCGGGGGCACAGGAACAGAAAAGTGTAGTGTGGCGGCCAGGGCTGGGGGCCCGCTCACACCGTGGGGTCCCTGGGCTGATTAATGGGACTGGAGGCCCTTCAAAAACAGCACTCCCCGCAGACAAGGCCTGATGTGGCTCCAAGAATAACCATATGAGGGAGAAAGAGCGGCTCCGAACAGGCTGCAGCTTCTGGAGGATCGGGCTCAGAGCGGCCAACGCCAACCAGGAAACTGAGAGACGGTCATTACAGACACACTCTGAGGCTTTGGACAGAATCTGACTCAAATCTGATGAAAGTACAAGTTAGAGACCTGTATCTACTTCATTAAAGGCCAACTCTGAGGCTTTGGACAGAATCTGACTCAAATCTGATGAAAGTACAAGGGAGAAACTAGGGCTGCACAATATATCGGAAAAATCGTTCATCAGGATATTGGTGCGTGCGATATCCGTATTGAAAAGATGCGCGATATTTGTATTTATTTTATTTTATTAAAGACAAAACAGACACATTAACATTCAACAAGAACAACAAACAAACCAACAGACAAAAGAATATAAATATATGCATTTGAAAGTCATTAATGTTGTGCTTATTTTTTGTTCTTTGTCGCTTGCGTTTCAATGCAGATTGCAATTTTAGGTGAAAAGACAAAAATACTGCAATAATGTTGTTATCAAAATACTATCAAGTATCGCTCTAATATATAATATTGTGCAGCCCTATGAGAAACCTTTAAGTAGTAAGTAGTAGTAAGTAATCTTTATTTATATACCGCCTTTTCACTGCAGACCAGAGTCAAAGCGGTTTACAATTGTTATTTTTGGGCATTTGTCTCTCACACAGAGATGAGAGCGGGGTCAGTACAGGAGGCGCAGACCTATTGTACATGTTTTTAGTGGTAGGAGGAAACCGGAGTAGACACGGGGAGAACATGCAAACTCCACTCAGAAAGGCCCTGGTCCGACCGGGATTCGAACCACCTGCAGGAGGATCAGTGAGGGGCTGGTGCTCTGACTGCCACCCCCTCGACCCAGAAATGGATTAAGGGGAAGAAAATGGATGGATGGATAAAGACAAACTCTGAGGCTTTTAGGAACCTTACTTTACTTCTCACAGGCATTTTTCTTTTTACAATTTTGCGCATTAGTAATTCACTCCACCCACAGTGATTAGCCACAGCTGCCCTGGGCCAGACTGATGGAAGTGGGGAAGCCAGACCAGCAATTCACCAACAAACACTTATTATCCAGATGGGATCATGTCAGATTTTTAAATGTTATTCCAATTATTTATGCGATGAACATCAAGAACAATAATCAATAACACTCATGATCAAATGCACCTATACTATTTTCATTTTAATCATTATAGCTCCTACTGTTCTATAACTTGTGATGCAACACTGACATTTCCCCGCTGTGGCACCAATAAAGAATCTCCTAATCTTAACCTACTATTTATACAAAAATGTCTAGGGTTGTAACGGTTGGTTTTTGCAGTAATTTAACCTCAAAAACTACAGTAAATGTTGATAAGTCAAAGGGTTAAAGTTGGTACAGGAGTTTGAAAAAGTGGCTGTAGAAAGGTTATGACATTTTTAATCACACTTGTGGAGCGTTGAGCATTCGCAGAAGTTTCTGACAGCTGAAAATAAATAGGGCAGTTAATGAACATCCTAAAAGGCAAGGCCACATTCCTCCAGCCCGCTGATGGTTTCAGCCGACACCCGGAGACTCCATCTGAAGCAAATCACCAACTAACAAGGGACTGGAGCCTTGTAACAGAATAGTTTATTACAGCTACTTTGGGCCAATGACACGCAGACTAATAGCACTAATAATGCTAATAATGCTAACACTGTTAATAATAAGGCCAAGAGGAAGTGTGTGTGATTTTATCGAGGCACACACACACATACAGAGCAATTCAGACATTAGCTAGAACATTATATTGTCCCACAGATAAGTCTAATACATTTGACCCATTCTTCAAAAGAGCTTTACATTTTACGAGCAGTAGATTATTAATGAATGTGTGGTCAGTGACACACATACTAATAATACTAATAACAAGACCACGAGGAAGTGACTGACCTTATCTCAATTCAGAAATTAACTATAACATCATACTGTTCACTTTTCCAACAGCTAAGTCTAATACATGGCTGTCAAAGTCAAGGCCCGGGCGCCAGATACTTTTAGAAACGCAAGACAATTTTTAGTGGCCCCTAAAATTATTTTTTTATTATTATTAACTAACAGCATTGAAGGTAAAGGGCGACCAAGGCAGGTTATACATCATCCATTATCTCAAGAAAACAACCACATTTAAAGTATTCTAACATTTTAACCCAATAACATTGTTAGAAGTTAAATAATTCAATATAAAATGTGTTTAACTTTAAATTTGATCCAGTTTTGGTTCAATCTAAACAATAAATGCATTTTGTTTCCTGAAAAATTAACTAGAAAATAACAGTGAAACTCATGTCACATTAAAGTCATGTTAAAAAACCTTCATAATGTAAAGAAAACAAAGGAAATCTCTATATTGTTTCAGCCCCCGACCAGTTCCAATAGTTTTTTTTTTATAATCGGCTCCTGACCAAAAGGGGTTTGACACAATGGTCTAATACATTTGACCCATTCTTCTGAACAGTTTTATATTTTACTAGCAGTAGATTAGTTAGTAATGCATGGACAGTGACACAGAACCTGTCAGGCAAAAGTAAAAACAAGTAACTGGTCATAATTAAGCGCCTTCTGTTCAGACTCCTTCGCCAAAAGTAAAATAACTTGAACTTGTCGCTTCATGTGTGCGGCTCTAAAGCAGTTGTACAGACATCCTCACCTCAGTCACACTCTCCTCCCGAGACCTCAGACATAAGAAAACACAGACGTTTGCCGCCATCACTAAAAGGACATTAAACTGCTGTAAGGCCAGAAGGGCTCGATAATTAGTCCAGTTGTTGTGGTGAAATGAAGTGAAATGAAGTGGTTATTCTTACGGCGGCCGAGGGAGTCCTTGTTTGCCTTAACACCCCATTTGCCACAGTCAGGCAGCTGTGCGGTAATGGAGAACTCTGTGAGGAGTTATGGTGCATTTCTTTAGAGGCACTGCAGTCAAAAGGTAGTGCTACTGAGGAGGTGATGTCACACGCCGGACCAAGACAGGAAACCAGGATAT